GGGGGGGGGGGGGGGCCCCCCCCCCCCCCCCCCCCCGGGAAGGGTTTGTGCCGTGTTAGTCATCGCAGCGAATGGTCCCTGTGGTTCTTGGGGGGGGGGGGGGGGGGGGGGGGAGGGCGGATGACAAGATGGCCCCAGAACTCCAGGAGACTGCCCACAGAATGACAACAAATGACACACAGTGTTTAATGTCACTGACGGAAAGAAATACATTCCAGGCAGAATAAACACAAAGTGAAACGTGACGTATTTTAACACCCTGGGCACAGTATTGCCAAGGAGGCGCTGTCTTAACGAGCCGTCATTCCCCCAGCCGCTGGCCGTGACTTGAAACAGGAAATTCGGGGACAGAAATCAGCCCAGGTGACAGATGCAGGTGACACACGTGCATGCAGGACGCAGCACTGAGAGGTCTGTCTTCCCGTTCGCTCATGGGTGCAAGTGATGACAATGATGTGATGACAATGACAATGACGGATGAATCTGATGACACGGAAATGAAAAGGATAAGAAACTCCGACCACGGCTTAGCTGACCTGACGGCCACACTGCAGGCTCTGCGGACAGACAGGAAATGGTGGGCGGCCTCTAACCAAACCCACCGGCTTCCTGAAGCATCGTTCGGACCTCATCTCCACTTCCTGCCTTTAAAATTGGTGACCGACCCCCCCCCCCACACTTTCTAGGTGCCCGAGATTGCTGAAAATAGCACGCGTGGCACGGGGGGTACAGGGGGTACAGGAGAGCACATAAACGAAAAAGGCCGGCACATATTCTACCTAATTATCGTACAGGAAGTGAGCTTAAAATTAGCCGCTTCATTAAGGCCGGCCCACACAGCGCGGAGTGGAAACCCATTATGCCTTTTCAGCCCTCCGATGTAAAATTGCATTTAGGGTCGAGTCCCTTTTAAAACAAGAGGGAAAATGAAAGCATCCAGTGAAAGTGCTTATCTTGAAATATCACACAGATATCACACAAACACACAAATGCACAGCTGATGACACACACAGAACTGTGTGTCCAGCAAGGTCCAGTGGGTCCAACCGCGCTTGTAATAGAACCCGGGCATTAAGCCTAACAGATCCCATGCCAGAGCATGCGTCAACACGCCACAGCGCACGGCGCACCCGGGCAGAAGGAGAAGCAACTGGAGATTGCTTAACTCCTGGAGACCAGCAGACTTGCCCACATTTTTTCAAAACCTGTTTCTAAAGAATAAAGACAACAATAGCAAAATCATACTATTTGAAACACTTGTGGATGCATATGTGGGGGGGTATATGGGGAGGGTGAGGGGTGGGTCACAGAGGCTGACTGTTTCAGTACACACCCAAAACTAACTGACATGAGTACTTCATTCTGAACCGAAGTGAAACTACATTAACTTCCAGACTGGAGCTCAGCTCACAATCCAGTTGCCTACAAACATTTTGCTCAAATCCCTTCAGAACAGGGAGCAACCTAACCTTACCCTAATTAACTTAATCCTAACTCACACATTCATAAATGAGTTAGTTGGTCGTAAAAGCAAGTTAACACCATCCTGGGTACATTTCTACATAATTAGACTTGGCTACAAATGGACTGGTCTGGTTACGTTGTGTCTCTCCCTAGCAGTTGGTTCAGTTGCGCCACTGACAGCCATCGACCTACTGCAGAGGCAAGACGTACCAGATCAGATGTGAAACCGTGGAGATCTCCAAAGACACGCCCACAGCCGAACCCCCCCAAAACGCCTGAAATCTTCTGTCATTTCCTGCTCTCGCCGCTCAGAACGTCCTGCCCGAGCTGGGCAAAGCTGAAACATGTCAGACGTTTGACCGACTCCAAGCTGCTGTATTATACTCTGTGAGGGCGGTGACAGGAAAAAAGTGCCCACCAATCAGCACGCAGAGTGAGAGAAAGAGAGCGAGGCAGGGAGAGAGTGAGCGAGCTCTACTTCAGAGGGGCAGGGTGAATGACCAAGGCGTGTGCTCACTGACACAAATACAGGCCAGAGTTTCAAGTTGTGTAGTTTATTTCAACATCATCAGCATTCAACCATCTCAATATCAAACTAATTCCTTCACAAAGCCAACAAAGAACAAAAAAAAGTGTAGTGAAGAACCTGGCCGGCTCTCCCTGGGACTCCCGACGAACGTCACCTGACCTACAAAAGGAACCGACTGTTGCGCCAAATGTGGTTTAAGAGGTCACAGCTTCCTTAAAACATGGATAATGAAGCTGACTAATCAAGCAAAAAAGCCACCAGAGTAACAGCAGAGATCAAAGGTTCTACTTAATACAGTCACATACTATAATGTTTGCAATAAAACAGGCCTTTTGGACCTCTGGTTGGTGCCATTAGTCTAAACCCTGTGAAAACTTCCCAGTCAGCTCATTCTTTATCCACTGCACCATTAGAAAGCCCATTTCCCCTACATTCCAGCCTGGCTTGCAATCCCTCCCCCAAGTTACTGGTGAGATTTCCCAGCCACTCTGGATGTGGACAGTCATGGGGAGAATGTAAGGTCCTGAACCCCCCAATAAGCCCCGAGAAAAAGCTGGAAGGGGGAGTGATTGCAGTGATGGATTAAGGTACATCGAACTAAGATCTGCAAATCATGAGCCTGGTGAGGGATACTGCAGATAACAGACATATCTCCAGAAACCACCTACATAAAACCCTTCAAAATAACTACCCCTTTAATTCCTGACTTCATTCTCCTCACATATTGCCAGTCTGCTTTAGCAAGCTGTGGATAAATCGATTACCTGACAATGGTGAGGATGAATTCAGCGGAAGATAATACAAGGAGAAAGGCATATTAATATTGTCAAACAAATGTAACCCGAGACTCCAAAATAGCTTCTAGAGCCATCAGCGCCATAGAAACACGGGCAGCCGTCTCCGCAGCCTGAGAGTCCGCACACCCTGTGTAAAATGCGTGATAAAGTGACTCATCATCACCATGCCGATATTCTCGAAGCCCTTGCTGGACTGACGGAAAGAGCCGTATCCAGATCCATCAGAAGCAGTCAGACCACAAGAGTACCCTGCCCTAGATTTGTCAAAGGTTGTGTTCTCCAAAAAACAAACATAGAACAAAATTAAATATGGCACTAGCGGACCGCTGTAATGTGCCTGACGGTTTCAACCAATGACAGAAGACAAACCTGCAGTCACATGACAAGGCTTTTCGACAAAGCTCAGGTTATCAGGAACGCATCAAGCAGGTGTGAGAGAAGTATTATAGATATGCACGTCCCCTGCATTCAACCGAAACAATGATGGAGGCTAGCATAATACCAGCAGTCAACAACAGCTGTAGTTCAGCAACATGTTACTATCTAATCTACATTTTATGCTACAAAGCTTGCGCAGGCTCACAATCAAAGGCCAGCATAGCTTACGACAAAGCAGCTTATACATACAAGGTACCATTAAAGACAAGTTCAAATAGATGCAGTACTTCAATACTCTAATTCTTATTACACCAACTATCTGTCCTGGACATGATGCATTCGCTGGAATTACTTGGGTTCCTAAGAACTGGATTTAGCATTGTATTCCATAAATCATGTGGCACATTAGCAAATGCATCACAGGCCAAGCCCCTGTGTAAAGAGCAGGGTGGATGCACTGAACTACAAGGAAAAACTGGTTGCCTAAAACTACAAAGTATCACATTAGTTTACATTTCCATTGCTATTTTTTATTATATAAAACTCTGGGTATTTTTTTTCAGTTTAATGTATTTGTTGCAAACTGGCATCCCATTTGGTCTACCTCAGTCTTTTCACTAAGCTGGCTGGGATGGGTTCCAGGCCCCCTACCCCACCCACACTACTCTGAATAAGATAAGTGGTTATAAGATTGATGGATGGATGGATGGATGGATGGGCTGATACATGTATTAATTGCAGCAAACATTCCAAGCCTGGACCTTTACGTTATTAAATTCCATCAATTACACTAAAGTTAAGAATGAAATATCTTACATAGTAACAATGGGAAAAATGAGGCTTTTAAAGCCACAGCAGACAGGAACACCGAGAAACGTCAAACACGAGCCGGATTATCCAAAACGGAACAGATAAAGCAAGCAGGCATAAGTGGGTCAGTAGGTTACCACTGAGTCGCTGATTGACAAAGTATGATAAACCATCCTACTGAAACTAACCCTAACCCTAACCCTAAGCCTAACCCTAACCCTTTATCAGCAAATGGCATTTAAAATGCCTTCTAAAGAGCATCTACGAGTCAATTTCAGAAACTGCACTCAAGAACAAAACAGACCCACTTTTCGGAATGACAGTCAAAACGGTAAGCGATTTAGTCAGTCGGTCACTCTATTCAAACGCCACAATTCTCAAGTGCAGAAATTTCTTACTATATTTTTACTTATTGTTTAACATTACATTGCATTACTCATGCCAAACACAATTATTTATAGTTTAGACGAATGAGGTCCCTGGGTGCATGGGCACATTCCGCTGCCCCCTGCTGGTAAGGAGAGCACCCTGGTGAATGTGGCCACAGTCTTTGGTGCCTGGTAGGTGCATATTTTGGCTTCATGAACACCACATGTAAACATTACTGGCTCTGGAATGTTTCTCTTCATCATAGTGAGCCATCAGGGCCCTGACAAACCATTACTTACATGTCACATGACTGCTGACAGCTGGAAGCTTCTACAGAAATTAAGTTAAAGAGCAGAGTGCGCATCAGACCCCTCACAGATGCAGGAAGAGATCGCTTGGAAAAGCTGTAATTATGCTGGCGTCTCAAATTCCCCTCTGTCCAGGAAAGCAATTGCACTGTCTTCAGTACACTTAAAGAAAAGGACATCCAAAGAACTGGCATTCCCGCTACTTAAACTTTATTTCAGAGAATCAACCCACGCCACATACTGTCTAATGTGAACAGCAAAAGTTATTGACCTAATATTCTCATAATTGAATTTCACCATAATAAACCAAGACAGAAAATGAGCAAACTGACAACACGGTCACATCTCTATTTATCCGTCTTTATTCTATCTTTAATAACACAAATACCTTCACGTAACATAGCTGACACCTTAAAACATGAATTTATTCAAACGAAAGACTCGCAAACACTTCCTCTTTTATCGAAAGTACATGGTTTAAGTTTATATTGCAAAATCCACTGGGTATCTGACATTCTTGCAAAATCCTCTTACTTGAGGCTTAGCTCCATTTTCAGACCAAATATCCATTTCAAAGCAGGAAATACTCCAGCAGACATCCTCGTCACATTAAATTTAAAACACCAGCGATAACAGACATACTGCTCTCCAAAACAGCACCTGAAGATGACAGTCTATCGAAGAGGACCTTGAGAGCATTTCCAGGGGAGACAGTTACAGAACGGGAGCTTCCTTCTGGGTTAAATCACATGTTTCCACAGGTCTTTCCCATGAATATCAAGTACCCCTCTTACACTGGGGGAACGCTCCATCCACAAGTCAGCAAACTTTACCGAACTTTTGGGGATTTGCGTCAGAGGAGGCAGTTGATGGACGCCATAACCTCACAGGGTCTGAAGCTACCAGGGTCCCACAGTGTCTGAATTCAGGGTCTGCATCCTTCAAAGGACGCGGTCTATGTTGCCTTTGTAGGCTCTGTCCTTCGAAGGCCCATGGAATGAATCTTGGGATTATGTTGGGTTGTGAAGGATCCATCACGTGGATTCTCAGCAAAAGAAGGACAAATATCTAGACCGCAACTGAAGGCGATAGCCTGGTCGCATTACTGTGACACATTCGGCCTTTGACTGCAGCCTTGAGGATGCAGCTCCTGAATTCGGATACAGCCAGTGACTCAGTGAGCACTTCCCACACGTGTTTCCTAAATGGCCCAAGGGCAACCTTACCTAACCCCTACTTTTCAAAAAGCAATTTTCATTTTTAAAAGAAACATGCAGGGTTGCCAGCTTTGGTCAGCTGGCTGGTGTGAGATTTTCAAAATAAGACAAGTCTGCACACACATGCAGATGAATTTACATGTATGTAACAGTTTCATTACCTTGAAAATAGTCAGTAGGGTTTGCAAGCTACCCCAACGCTTTTGACGCAGCTAATTTTAGGTTTATAATGGAATAATGTAGATTTGCCATAAGATATCTTGCATGAGCGTGAGAGCTGGTAACCCTGAAGCGGCGACAAACTGACCAGACATGTAAAATTCAAAGTGTATGCTTGGGCTACATAGTTACTGCACTATTGGTGTTAATAGCTATATACACATCCCAGTACGTCACCCGAAGAAAAATCGGGAACAACGAACAACATAAAGACATTTTCAGCGTTTATGCTAGCTTTCCAGTTTAGTGTAAAAGTAGTTCTCCGGTGAAAGAAAGAAAAATAATATCTATATGCAAGTGTGCTAAAATATTTATTGACGAAAAGTCGGAGCGCCTGAACGTCACAAAGAAAAGGTCACAGCTTGAATGCAAAATGCGTTATTTATAATTTAATATTAACATGGAAATTATGTGGGAAGCGGGTAGCCATGCAGAGCCTTACGTTAAAACGAAAGTAAAACGGGATTATGGTAAATCATAAGACTGAATGCAGCCCATCTGCTGACCGGGCATGGAGACTATGAGGCTGGCACCCCTGGCACCCCACCACCAACCGCTTCGGGCACTTCACACGGCAATGGGGGCCGTGAATTAACCTCCTTAATGCTTAAAAACCCCGGTAATGCAAGGTTGAGACAGGTACGTTAGACTGCGAACACTCATCATTAATGGTGATCGATCTGCCCCATTTACTGGGCAATAAATTTCCACTAACACAATAACCCACGAGGGAAACAATTAACGTAGAAATCACTAACACATGTATAATTCTTCTAACCTGTTAAGTTTCCCAAATGCTGTAAGTTCAGGTAAATGGGCGTGTCTCCAAATAAAACGTCAAACAGGTATTACGCTTTCACTAATATTATTATTCGTTATAATACACTATATTATATACACATATATGCGTAAACACCCAGCTAAAGCAACAATTACATACTGAAATTCACTCGAAATAATTATATTAGTTTTCTGACACAAACCGTTTTTTTAATGCTGCGACTAGCTTGTCCATTTTTTTCGTTTTTACGGGGTATGAAAGTGACCGTTTGGCGTCTCGCGACCAATTTTAAGTGTCAGATAGCAGCAGATAATCCAGTTCTCATGGGTAATATTGAAAGGTGCACGCTGGCCATATACATATACTTAAAACCACGCTGACAAGTCTGGGTTAACTTACAATACTTACTAGCATGCTATCCTCCAAATATTCCGCTCTCCTGACGCTCGACTGTGCTTTCTGTGTAAGCTGCTAGCTATCAATTACTCCATAAATTCACTTAATAATTAAACAACACCAATTCCTCCATTTTCATTACTTTCGCCGCTCGAACAAACTTGATGCCAAGTATTAGAATGGAGTGGCGGTCGGTCTCAGCCAACTGCAGAGGAGGAAATCAAGCCATCAACGGGGAACGAGCGAATAAGGGGCGGCTTTTGGGGCGTGGCGAAATATTTTCCACGAAAGGGGTAGGTTGTCACAACCAAGGGGAAGATGTCCCGAATCTGGAGCAGGCTAGTGGGATGGGTCGATATTTGAGAGCAAGGGAAATATATATTTCCCCGTATTGTTTGAGTCAAGTTGATTATGATTTTTTGGTCAAATATAACGCATGTATCGCTTTGTGTGTTTTATACTAAGTAAGCGTTTTAACACCATTCTAAAGATCATTTCCTATAGTATCGTTTCATTAAAACACAAGTGTACGTGTACTCTGACAAATTAAAAACAGCATCAACTAAATTTGGAGTAGATTGCAGTCATGTTGCATGCATTGCTATCTTTACCGTGATACTTTGCCTGGAAACTGCTGACAAGGAACATGAAAACGTTTGAGAAAGAAAACAAGCTTTTGGCAGGTGCTAAGAAATGCATAAAGCCGGAGGTCCGACATGTAACGCAATTCCTGGTGAAACTCTTTTGGCGGTACAGACAACAGCTGCTGGTCACCCATAAATATTGTACATACAAAAAAGGTAAAGGTACTTTTAGCTACGCTGGAGATTGTAAAAGCTAGAATGAATGCAATAATATTGGAGGGCATGCAAGAATCTGAAAGAGCTCATTTTCAAAGTTGGGTTTTCTTTTGTATAGCTGGTAGAGTGTAATTTTGATTTATAGATCCCCCCGCCACGAATAACAGGTATAGATTGGAGCCAAAAGGACCGGTTTTATTCAGCTTTATTTGTAAACTGCGCTGTCAAGGACGGACATTTTGCGCTATGAGTCATTTACTCATTAGGAAAGGCTTCGTGCGTCAGAGTTATAAAACACTATACACAACAATTAATTGAAAATTGAATTTGATTTCAAATGAGTTGCAATAATACATAATGCTAAATGTTTATAACTCAGAATTCATTGTAGCTTTGCTATGAATTATACAGCTATTCAAAACAAAAACAAGCTGACGAATATTTAAAAAAAATCTTTTCTATTTCATATAAATGTATCACTTAATCATCTTAATCTTAAATTCAAATTCTGCATCACAGTGATTTCAAATATTGACAATGTTCATGTAAGCCTCCATAAAAACGTTTTTTTTTTGTTTAAAAAAGCAACAGGAAAGTTGCTCTCCAACAGGGGTCGTACTACATATTCTGTCAACTTCTTCCATGTTCACCAGCAAGCATACCTTCATTAACATTTGCATCAGTCACAGTCATTTCAAGGTATGACATATTAGTGAAAGCAACAGTTTTTAAAAATGTATTGATATAGGATTCGATGCACTGTGCTGACTGTGAGTCACCGAAGTACAGTGTTTTTCCTCAGCTTCACTCCGGTGGTGTACGTCATGTTTTGAAACCCCGCGGTAATTACTCAGCCTCTCCGTGCTGACCGTGGGAGCCAGCTTAATTGAGCCATGAATTGACTTGGGAAATGTTACGGTTAATAGCGATCCACCGTCAAATCCAATTAAGGTCACAGCATAACAAAGAATGGTGCTGTAGGCAGAGATCCAGTAGGACAGAAAGATTTCAGTGGGGGTCTTCAATTCAAATGCTTCTGACTCTCGCTGTCTTTGGAAGCCCAGAGATATGACAGGATGCTCATTTCCAGTAGTTCATGTTCTGTTTATCTTCTTATATTTAGCAAACATTTTTACCCAAATCAATGTACAGTTCCTGTAGTAATTGGGGATTAAGGGCCTTGCTCAAGGGTTAAATCACCCTGAGTAGTTTAGGATTTGAACCAGCAACCTTCCGACCACAGACGCAGCATTCCAACTCACTGAGCCGCTCACCACCCCTCTACTCTTGTCTACATAGCTTATATCTGGGAAAAGGAAAAATTGGAGCAGGCAGGACAGCCAAACACTGACCCTCTGATGAGAGCAATGAGCATGTTTACAGCTGGATAAATGGGGAGACATTTGCTTTCAAAACGTGTTCCCCATTTTAACAAAATACTAATTTACTGTTGCAACACCAATCTACAGTATTTCCTCATAGAAAAAAGGAGATTATATTTACAAGTTAGTTCCCTAAATCCCCCCCCCCCCCCCCCAAATACTGTTGCAGACTGTTTTTTATATGCAACAGGTATTAAGCAATACCATAATTATCCTACGTATTGGGTTTAAGGAGCAAGATTGACACCTGAAAGCTGGGCCACCTCCTTCATCAGGTCACCCGCTTCTTGTCTGTATCTTTGCGACAGATCCCTGGCCCGTTGGACCTCCTCCATGTTCTCCCTGAGGTTTGCTTCTACCCGTCGCTGGTCCAAATACGTCTGGGCAGCATTGCCGACTTGCTGGGCAAACTCTGCTTTGCACTGCAGCACCCAGTCAATCATCTCCTGCAACTTGGTGCTTGTCTCTGTGATGGTCTTGGCTGACAGACATATTGCCCTCAACTGCTGCTGGGTCTCCTGGAGTCGGTTGGGTACTGGGCCCGGTGGAAGCACCAGTGAGAAATCATAGCCCTTCATCTGGAGGCTGGGGCTGTAAGCACCTAAGGTCACAAACAGAACTCTGGTTAAGCTAATGCCATCAGCCACATCTAGCTTGGATTACACGCCTCATAAATAAAGTTCTTGGCATAATCAAGGCTATTTCACGAAGATATGAAGTGCCAACATGGGGCAGTGGAGGGGTCTCACAGTGGGGTCGAGGGCAACAGGGGAGATAACATGGTAAAAATTGCCAACCTGTAGAGGGGGGATTCTCTGCAAATTGTTGCACATTTTGCATGGCTGGCTGTTAAGGGGCACTTGGTAAAATTTGCCAGCCGGGGTGGTACACTGTGGTAAATTTTGCAGTGGGACCATCCACTGGTGCCACCTCAAGCAGGCTGATAGAAACAGCCGTCTGTTTGGTCAAAGCCCCTGCCCAACATGCAGAGAGGTAACTAATAAACAGTGAGAGTCACACATCTGCAAGGTACTCACTGTGCTCGTCCCTTATGTTCCTCATGCAGACAGAAAGGCCGTCTCCATGGGAACAGCGATATCTCCCCCTCAAGTCGGTCAAGCATTCTGTCATGGTCTTGTAATGTTCCTGCTGCCGATTAAAGGTCTCGGCGACGTCCGCGAAGGCCTGATCGATCTCCGGCACCCCCACGCGTTTCGGGGTCATCCTGGTACGCTTTTCCATGGCTGTGGTACAGAGTATAGCTTGTGACCCTCTTTGCAGACGGTGCCTGGACACGTCACACCAACTAATTACATTTACGGCATGTTACAAATTGCAGAAGTAAAGTGAATGCGTTTATAGATGTCATGAGTCCAGCAATGAATCAGAAGTTTACCAGTGGCCGTTGGGGAGGCTTGTGTGACTGGGTGAAGGAGAGACTGTCTCTGAAACAGATAAAGACTGGAGTTACTCTCCTCCAAAGACAGCTAAAGATTTATCACTAAAACCAAAGAGTCAGAAAAATAACCAAAAAATAAAGAAAATGACAAGTGTCATTTTATGTAACAATTTAAAATGATTTGCATATAGGAATATTTAAAGATCACACCTTAAGTAGTGACATCTGATATTTTTTTACATTAAAGAGAAGGGAAATTCCTTTATCACTTTTTAATGCATTCTAAGTACTGCAGAGTTGGTAAATCTGTTTTTTTTTTTTTTACAAGCGTACTAGAAATAGTTAAATATTGTGAACAGAAATCAAATTTCATGATAATTAATGAAGAACGGAAGTGCGATACATTCAAATTAATAGTTTTTTTAATCTGATACCAACAGCAACAAATAAATATTATAAAATCATAAATGGCACTGTACGTGTTCTTTCGCTGTAACGCGAAACATTCATTCAAACTTTTCACGGAATAAAAAGAACATCCATTCGAATCTGTTTATTTAGTTTTATAACTAAAGACAAATTCAGGATATCCATCCGTGTCCTTAGCCACCGTACACCCTGGCGTCTTCTCTGAACATTGACTGCAATGCCATTGAAAAGCCCACTCTTACTTACCGCACAAAACATAAATCCCATTAACTATGAATCAGGACACCACCACCCCCCTCCCCAAAAAAACAAGATTATAAAATCTATCTGAAAGTGCCTTTCATGTCGGTGCTGAGACACGCGCTCAACAAATAAATAAATGAATTTTTCTCATGTGCCGTCATCTTGGGTTACTTTTAAAAGACCTCCACAATCCCAGACGCTAAACACATACCTCCGAAGTATTTTCCCACTTTAAGAAGCGACAGCAACAGCAAAACACAAATGTCATGTTATTTTTTGGTCGGATCAGCAGTGGCAGCGCTACTTGGAGGAGGATCAGATCCAGTTCAACTGCCCCCATGACGTCGCTGTCATGGGATTAACAATAACCAGGTCATTTCATTTTCTACCTGTTTCACCTGTTTCAACTGTACCTACTGTCACCTAACCACGTCGACGGCGCGTTTTCTTTAAACTGGTCTTTCCACTATTGCAATGTTTTTCTAAAAGCACATATTCCCCCAAACTGCGTCTGATCGCTTTTTAATGTCAAACTGTACTCGAACATCGATGTCACCAGGAACTTTTAATTCCATTTCGATGTTTATATATCCCGTTGACCGTTGTAACTGGTGATTAAGTATATGTGTACTTTCACTCATTACGTCGTTGAATAGTCTGATTTACATAGATCTCGCAACAGAGTGGTACCGGTGTTCTGTCGATATATGCTGCCTTGTCGAAAAATGCTACCGTAGTGCTAATCGATAGCCCTAACCCTAACTCTTACCCTAACCCCAACCCCCCAAAAGCCCTAAAACCCTTACCTTAACCTTAACCCTAACCCTAACCCCTAAAACCTAACCCTAATCCCAAAACGGTGGAACTGCACGTGCGCAGAAAGGCTCGATAGAACATCTCGATAGGTAGTATTTTATGACAGAACACCGGACCTATGTGTTTGCATGCAGCTGGTCCTGTTTTTATAAGCTGCATTTCAACATAGTAAGGCTACTAAACAGCTGATCGGGTTATTACTGTAGACACTTATCACGTTTTGCACATTGATATTTCTTTCTTGCTTTTCTATTATCTTATTTTAATCTTTTATTTATTTTGAATTTTACTTATTACTTTGCTACAAGGAGCACTCGGTCAGGGGATTGCATTTCAATATCTGCATCTTTGACTGCATATTTGTTATACGGTGATGCACCAGTGCAAGTATGCACTTGGGGGTGATCAAAGCGTTATTTTTCGGGGAGTGCATCTTAACCCCGCACCGACGGCAGGTGGCGCCACTGTGCCTATTCACGCAGCCTTAGCCGCGGAGATCCACGGGATAGAAACAAATCCAGACGAACAACGCTCCGGGTAGCTGGCCCACGGGGATGCCCTGGCTGCATTGCTTGTAATCCTCACCCGGCGCTGTTTAGCGCATCCCCGCACGGACTGCGAGTGTCCGCAAAGGCGCAGCCTTTATAATATTTCTTTGCTGGCTCCGGATCAGCGCCCGCTGTCGCCGTAGCCCCGCCGCTTTTTCGCCGGGGACCGAAACCATGGCTTCCCCGGCCACTGACAAGGCGTCGGGCTCCAAGAAGAAGGGCGAAAAGAAATTCGCCGTTAAGGAGGAGTACAGGCTGCTCTCCAGCATCATGGGCATGATGAACAACCTACGTAAACAGGTGAGTTGGCGACATCAGTTTTACTGCCTAGAATCATAACGCAGGTTTCAAGTGGGTGTTTTTCTGAAGCTTTGTTGTCTGATGTCTGTGGTGGTTTCATAGGAGGCTTTGGGCAGTTAAATTTCTTTTCTTACACGGTACATGTGGATTTACGATCAAGTGTGTCTGTGTGTGTGTGTTTGTGTGTATATATATATGTATATATATATATATATATATATATATATATATATA